CCTCAGAAAATGCACAAAATGAACGTACACTAAAAAAATCGGAATAACGTTTAATGGAATATGGTCTAATACAAAATCATTTCGGGTGGATAGGGATAACTGTGATTACGACAATTATAAACATTTCTTGCCAATAAAAAAGTACTATTTAATTGAAAATTTGTTTGAAAACACTTTATGATAAAGTGAAAATGGTTTGGAAAACAAAAAACACCTCCATGTTTGCGTTGTAATTTTTGGCTCTTAACAGATTTATGATCAATTTTCAAGATAAAATATGATGGAAATGTTTATACCAAAGTGGGGATGTTCACATATTTGTTTGGCTAATAATGTAAAATACATACTCTAAATGACGTTTCATGTAACCCAACGGATCAGATCATAAACATCTCGCATTTTTGTGTTGTGCTTTCCGGTTAGTCTTTTTGGATGGAAATCGAGGTTACGCGATTATTTTCACAATATGAAAAGGATTGCTTTCGAGTCGTTTCGCTGATGAAACGTGAAGCGGGGATCTTTTCAACTCTGTTTTCAGTTTTCTTTTGTACTTCACAACCCCTGCGCAAACAATGGCACGTCCGTGTATGGTGGCAGAACAAAAGCTTTTCCCTCGTTTTCCCTTTCGTGGATACTGTACGGGCTCCTCATTATTGGCCTCTCATTTTCAAGCACTGAATTTTTCGGTAATGAACTCGCAGACAATTGCCGTTATAAATAATAATTTACGAAGTTATTACGATAAATTTGTTAACTAAACATGGTCAACATCCCCTGGAAGTTGTTTAGGTTGTAATTTGTCAAGTTTAAATCTCCTGGGCCCTGAAAACACAGTTCGTGCACTGAGTAATTATTTCTCCGGCAACCAAGTTGGCGAACTGCATTACATAAAAGCCGTGATGGTTTAGCCTACGTCCCTCGCCGTGTAGTCTCTGCTTCGACCAACATTCAATTTATATTCGTTCTTTCTTGTACGCATACCGTTCACTCTGTATCCATCACCCCACACAACTAATCTACGCCTCAGGGCATGATTAAAAGAGGCTTTGTAAAAACAAAGCACTCCGACTCGTTTCCGACGCCAAACGCAATTTGCAACGAAGAGAAAAAATAACCGGTGGAGGCAGACAAATCGTTTTACGGCCGGGATTTCTCCTTCGATTCTTCTTACGGCCAGTTGTGTCTCCCTAGCAACCCCTTGGACATTTTGTAAGAACAAAATCGCCTAACTTGAAATTAATGAATACTTTAAGAGTATCAAATAGTCAAATTGAATAAACACATTATACTAGTTTAAGTAAAAATTATTATTTTAGGATACAAATTATATTTAAATATTTCTGGTCTTTTCGAATTAAGGAATGTGTCAGAATTTTATTTATTTATAACCCGGCGTTGCACAGGGGGATAATAAAAAGTGTTATTTAACACATTATTTGGAGTATGCATATTGCCATTGCTAGTTATGCTAGCATATATATAAATTAAATGAACAAAATTGAAACTTGATATCGATAATTGTATTTATTTATCATATTAGATATTTACATATGCAATGTAAATGTAACACATGCAATGCTTTTGGATATACAATGTTTTGGTGATTACATTTGTCATTTATACAAACAACAAATCCCCCATCCTGGAGCATGCTACGTACAGTTCTCCATGAGAAAACCATATATCTCCAAATTCAATCCACATAGTAGTAATGATTGACCTTGTGGTTTGTTTATCATTACTGCCAGTTAATTGGAAATTGCAATCATTTGAACTGGAAAGGCGCTTCTGTTGGTGTACGTTGGATTAACACTTCCTCTCATTTGAATATTAGTAAGAATTCACTAGTTTTCGTGTTCCTCTTGACGAATTATATCTTTCAATTAATTAAGGTTTTTAGTGGAGATAAAAAAGTAAGTGTCACTAGCTGGTCTCGAACCGACGATCTTCGGCTAGATACGCCGCTGCTCTACGACTTGACTGTCGTGACGAGGTCGAAGATCGTGCGTTCGAATCCCGCTCGTGACACTGACTTTTTTGTCTCAACTAAAAACCTTAATTAATTGAAAATTAGTAAAAATATTAACATTATTGTACTAACAATATGCTCTTAGTTTGGTGGCATCTTAAACAACAGTAAAGTGCAATTCTAAAAGAGAGGGTCGAAAAGTCAGAACGTAAGATTAAACAAAATTCATACTACAGCAAAATCATCACAATTATTACTCAACAGCATAAAATTTACAAAATTATGTTCATCTCGATCTATAACAGTATTTGATTGTTGATTTATATAATCTGAAATACGCAGATGTTTGTGCTTAAAAACACACGTATTTACAGTTGAGCCTAGCTCTTCTCGCAGTCCGCCAGCAAATCCAATTTGTAATTTACATTAAATTACCGGTAGACATCGAGAATCACCCACCGCGGTTGGGCTCGGGGTGCTGCAAACAGGTTATAGGTCATTACATCCCACAACGTAATCAGTTCATAAAAAAACAACTCACAATCCCACTATAAGGTTATCTGTTTATTTGTATGTGTATTTTATTTAGTATATACAGCTTTTGAATATACATATATACCCGAGCGTTGCCAAGGGGATAGTATAAAGTTTTATTGTAAACTATTTTGAGTATTCAGAAATTGTGAGATGCATTCGGGTTTGATGTAGGTTTCAGAAAAACATTTTCTTTATCGTGCCAACGTTTCGATCTTTATTGGGATCATCTTCAGGGCCTGGGATTTACATTGTTTAAATTTAACAAATACATGTAGGATGTGGAAAAAAAGGGGATTTATACAATGCAAAATATATTTTTTATATTCAATCAAAGTATTGTATGAATGGCAGAATTACACAGAAAACAAATACTTTGAGTGAGTAAAAATTTTTGATGGAAATACTTTGATTGAATATAAAAATTATATTTTGCATTGTATAAATTCACTTTTTTCCACATCCTACATGTATTTGTTAAATTTAAACTATGTTTGTAAATCCCAGACCCTGAAGATGATATCAATAAAGATTCGAAACGTTGGCACGATAAAGAAAATGTTTTTCTGAAACCTACGTCATACCAGACCGCATCTCACGATTTCTGAATTATCATCTACTAACGGTCACTAATCACCACACATTATTTTGAGTGTACATATTGTTTGATGGGAAGATACATATATGTAAATTAAATGAATATAATTTAAAGTGTGGAAACTTTATTCATAACTTCAACAACCATAACTGGATGCAAGCTATTTTAAATATCTGAATTACACTGAAGTGCAATATCATCAAATTTTACCAAATGACAATCGATTCATTTGCATGCGTAATCGATCGTGTACCGCTGTTCATTTGGATCTCAATAATCTTCATTTCGTGATGTAGTGATGTTTCAATAGCACATGAGTGGGACATATGAAATCTATTTTGTTCATGCTGTTACTTCATCTGATTTATTTTGTCTTTCATTTCGTATTCTGTTGGCAACATTTGTGCGACGACCAATATTTTGTAGTTTTCGTGTCATTTTAAACATCGACAAGATACAACTCCAAAAGCAATTTTACAACAGCAGAGGAAAAAAGTCAGAACATAAGATTAAACAATTCATAATACAGGAAAAATCATCTCGGTTAATATAAAACATCAAACATAGAACATGACGTCCTAACCTCATATTTTATAAAATTCAGAATGTTAAAAATAAATCTAGTTGGCAAAACAACAGCACTACGTATCATTTAATTTAAACTGACCAGTTTGATAAAACAATGTTTATTAATATTTTGCATAACTTTTAATTGTTGATCTATACATACCTGTAATACAAAATCGGTTTTTGTAGTCTTTATCTTTGTACATTAAATTGGACGCATTTCTCACTTCTGATGGTTTGGCGGTTAAGTACATGCCAAATGCCGGTAGTTCGTTTTCCTACTTATACCACTTCTGCCTACAGTTTTTGCGACAATATTGTATCAGTAGTTTTTCAGCCATAAACGATTTTTTTTGCGAATTTTTGCGACTATGGAGTGTTAGCGTAGTTTTTGCGTTTATTGACTGCGCCTCCAAATCGGAATACTCTAATTATGGGGGCCGGAGTTCAAATCCAGTCCCGTTGGAGTGGTAAATACAAGCTGGAGAACATAAACATAACCATCGCCAATTACTGTCAATATCAATTTACGATAATATATATTTTTTTCAATTGCTCCTTTATAGCCAATAAATATAGGAAGGCCAAGGAATATAGAGAAGTTTGGTTGTAAATCCAATAATATGTCATTAAAATGTAGCACATAAAGTAAAGATAAAATAAGCCATACGAATAAGAGTAACATTATGTTGAAATGCGATCGAAATGAAATTATATTAAATATCTATAAGTATTAAAACAAAACGAAAAATGTTATAATAAATCAAATAACATTTGAATTGTAAGGAAATTTTTTTAAATCTGAAACATTCCATTCAGGATATATAAATGCCATTTATTTTGTTGTCCTGCGCCCCGAGGAATATCGAATACTCGCGGTGGGAGTGTGACGTCTGGAAAGTAAAAGTAATTTATTAGCGCGAATGGAGTGGTTCAACCCGAGGGATATCGAGTACTCAGGAGGAGTGAATGAGACCAGACTTCTATGTTTTGTTGGGTGGTGATGTACATATGTGTATTGTATGGCTAACATTTTATGATATTTACGAAGTGTACATAAAAAAAGTAGAGCGTCAGTTACCAGATCGAGAAGCTCAAATGGCTGCAGTTTAAAACATAATAAGCATGAAAGACTATTGCCGATTTTGTTTACTGAGAGATCTATTAAATTTGCTTTCTAGTTAATGTTGTAGAAATATATTTATCTACAAACGTGTGTAAATATGTGATAAAGTACCTATTACACACAATTTAGCACCTTAATTTTTTTTTTAAATTACATTGAGTAAAGTACGTTTTCATTTCAATTGACACGTGTTGTGCTTGTTTCAGGAAACGTGAGGTTACAGAAGGAAGACGGTGGGGCACAAGAGGTAAGCCAATGTTTATTCAATCAATGAAATATATCTATTTCGTCCATTGAAAAGTGTAGAAGGAGAGATAGACAGAGAGAAGCGGATCTCTCGGATAGTCGATCATTCGTCAGCTTTTCTTCCCAATCTGTCATTGGGGCGATAATAAAGTAAACCACGTTTTTACATTTCAAAACAACGCTTATTAGCTGCGGAGTTCCACGTGTGAGGTATATAAGCTGAAGCCAGACCCTCCAATCCATAAACATCTAAAGTCTAGCCAACTGTCGCATTCAAAATCCAACTTCGAACTCATCACTGGGCCACTGACCAGTGACTAACACTAAACTCTAAATTGTACCTGACTCCAGCCCCGAGGAATACCAAGTACTCTGGGCTGATTGTATGACGTCTGGAGAGTAAAAGTAATTTTTTAGCGTGAAAGGAAAGGGTTACCTATAACCCCACCCCGAGGAATATCGAGTATTCTGGGGAGTGACTGTGACCAGACATCTGTGTTTGTGGTGATGTATGTATTGTATGTTTTGTTTCTATTCTGTATTTGATGATGACTGCGATGACCTGAGATGTTTGTCGACCCATAAACTTCCCACTTATATATATGTAGCTGACTCCGTGACCGACTGACCAGTGTCACTTAACTCCTGCCTGAGTAATCCGCACTCGTGTCAACCACAGCTGCTCAATGGCTATACTTTTCGTAGCGCCGGCTATTTATACATCTCCCAAGAGGACTCTACGTGGGGTTCTCTTCGCCGAGGTAGCTACAACCCTCTGGTTTCACTATTTTGCGTTTCTTGGGCTTTACTGCGGTGCGGATTCTTGAGCGACCAGGGAAGACACGACATAAGTTTCTTCGACTTTTCATTTCCTCATTTTGACCGTTCCGTACATTTAATACAATTATCTTTATATAAATAATTATTAATTAGTTACACAACAAATTATGTATACAAATATAGTCTTCTCACGACATATATGAGGAAGAGTAAAATCAAGAGGTAAATTTGAAGTTACGGGTTCCAGGCTCCATCCCCTCCACTTCCGTAATTTCCGCTGGGACATATGTTTGTTTGCTATATATGTTATTCTTACCTTGACAACGTGCAACGCTCAGTGAAATGTTTTCTGCGATTTGAGTATTATATCGGTAGATCCCGTGAGAGAATTGGAGTATGAACTTTAAAGATAAAGGTTTTGTGTCTCGGTGTTATTGCGTCCATTTTATATACCGTATCTATCGAAATTTATTCCTTGGTTGTTTAAGAGTTAGGACACAACGGCCAGCGCTAAAATCACGAATGATATTCATTTTATGTTGTGAAAAATTCATTTTTAAATTACTAATTTATATGTGTTTTTCTTTTTAATAATAACAAGTGATTTTCGTTATTCGTGCAACTGTTTCGTTGAATTTGTCTTTGTTAAGAAATTTAATACTACTTGACGGCATTCCTTCCTTTATCCGTTTTTTAATTTTTATTTTTAAAAAAAGTCATTAAAAAGCATTACTGCTTCAAGGGCTTTTCATTTCCCTTCTACCTCTGTAGAAAAACGGACCAACTTTTCCCCTTTCGCCTGGAAAAAACTTTGTAATTAACATTTCTCTGTTTCATTTTTTCTTTCTGGACTCATTGCCCCTGGAAAATTGTAATTGTTAATAGAACAGTTTATCGCACGGATTCGTTCTGGGCGTAAATTTCAAATAACAATCGTCATAAGACAGTTTTCACATTTACTAGGTCCAAATTACTAATTGTACTTTAATCAATAACGATGATTTAGATCAACGAATAGAAATAGAAATAAACAGCCATCCGTAATATCTTCACCATGGACCCACTAATCCAGGCAATACAAGAGAAAATCAGGGAAATACACGAACAAAGAAAAGAGGTAGTTATTGCCTGGATACCGTTATTGCTATGTAGGCCTAGAAGGTAATGAAAATGCCGATCAAGCTGCCAAACGAGCAGCGATAATGCCACATGACCCGGAAGCTCCCGTGAGCCCAGCGGACGTCAAAAAATATATGAAGAATCTTTGTTGGAAAAATTGGCGGAACCGCTGGGACAAAATGACCGACAAATTAAAAGAACTAAAACAGTCGGTCAAACCGTGGGCCATGGATAATATGAGCTAAACAGGGAGAATAATGTTGACCCGAATGCGAATAGGCCACACTAGACTGACTCTTGGCGAGAAAAAGTCACGGAGATGCCCATTGTGCGGAGCATTTTACTAACCGAATGCGAACTATTGGCACTGCACAGAACAAAGTGTGGCCTTTCCTCGAGTTTGAAAGAGGTTTTACAACGCAGCAATAACAATAGTAAAAAAGTAATCGAATATCTGAAGCAAATAAATGCATATGGTCGCCTTTAATGCTTCTCCGTTCGTGGTTTCGTTTTCCCTTCCTGAAGTGAGTGTATTTATTGGCGAGAATGCTTGAGTGTATGGGTGGATAGTGGTCGGAATATCGAGCACGCCACAGACCCACCAAACTAGCATAGATATCTCTTTGTTTTTTTGGTAGAATGAATGTATTTATTGGCGCGAAAGTGAGTGTGTATGGGTGGGTTGTGAAGGAATATCGACTACTCCACAGACCCACCGATTTAGGTTAGTATTAGGCGATAATATCTTTTAGAAAGAATGGTCGGAGGTACTGTTGTAATACTAAATGCGCCAGTGGCTCTTATAAATACAGAACGATTGCGTCAATGCAGGTGCTGTCAATAACCCAGGCAGCTAGCCGGTCGTGGAAGGAAAAAAAAATTAGCAAGTATGTATAATACGGGAGAACTTAACGTCCAACTAGATGTTGGGTGTCGCGGATGAGTGGCATATATATGCCATACATATATAGTTAAAACAGTAGTTAAGATGGAAGTTTTATGTTATTTAACATGTGTAAACGTTACTTTAAATATAGAAATTCAGTGCATTTCAGTCCCCAAACACACCGGATGGGCAAACCTGACACCAGCTTTTATTTCTTCAGCCTTGAATGAAAGCTTTAGATTAGAATGAGCGGTAATCCGATGTAGCTACTAGGTTGGTTGTATGCTGGGAGAAGACAGTGTTTGAGTTTCAGTTCATTAATTTTTTATTTGTTTGGACTTTCATTGGTGTTCGTTATGAACCCCCCGCAGTTTACACCTTTTTTCGGAAACCGGGCATTTTTGTTCATTCAGCGAAAACTGATGAGTGAATTTAGTCACCTGCCCTTCAGAAACAAATTTGAAGTGAATCCATATATAAATCGGCAGTTGAAGAGCTAGCTGCAAGTAACGAACTGATTCGTTTGTCCTGTTCGTTTCGAACATCGATTAATTACCGCAGTTACTGGTCTCAGACACACCGTCACAGAAAATAAATGCAAATGTCCTGAAATTATATTAATTGCATTCCTCTTGTGTCCCTCGGGAAGTTAATTCACTTGGTAGTACGCCAGTAGTATCATCGTTTGTTTCATTCTGATCTGTTTCTACTCACTGTTTTTACGGTCAGGCGCGTTTCTGTATCAGTGGTTAATCGGGATATAAGCAGTGGGGTAGTCTAAACTGAACTTCCTGAAGATTGTGAGAAGCCGAAACGCGTATGACAGATCAAGCCAGCGAGTATCCGCAAACCAAAATGATCGATAATGTCCAACCAAGAGGTTCATAAATTATTATGATAGACATGATAACGATGATTTTACGTTGTACCATATTTGTTATGCATATTGTAAGGAAATTTTTGAACGGGTTATAAATTGTGAAAAGTACAAATTGTCTGGAAAAAACGGGTACATAAAATGCATGGGTTAAGCAAAATCTAATTATTAGCTAGATCAACTTTTTGTTAGCTCTCCGAGTAGGGCTGGGAATTAGTTATTTTCTTGATTAAAATTCCATTCCATTAGATAAGGCGAGTTCCTCGCTTCTCTAAAGAAATTAATTGCCATTTCTTTTCCTCAGCCGTCGTCCGATAAATGGAACTAGACGAAATTAGCCTGGATATATGACAAGACGAGTTTACAAAAGAAAAGCGTGATATTGTGAAGAAGGGCGACCTATCGGCGCGTGGTTTACGTTCTCCGTCTAGCCCTCTCAGTCCATTGTAATGTTAATTAACTTAAGAAAGCCGCAGGAACATGTATCTTTAGTTTAATATTAAGTGCACTGATGCAGGGATCACGTGTTGGGAGGGGCAATGAATGGAGGCCTATTAGTTCCCACGACTCCTATTAGAACAGGGGAAGCATCGTCCATCCAATCCGACTCAAAGCCATCATATAATTATATTACCACCTTAGGGGAGTAAATCAATTTACATTTTCTACCCTCTCTGAATCGCAGGAGTTAACAGGAACCGAATCAAGATTCGGTTGGTGTAACAATCTTTAATTTGAGAGTTCTTACTCTTAAGGATGTTTCATATTTAAAAAAACTTACGTTCTACCTAAACCTGTCAATCCTGACATACACGAACATCCTGATTTGGTATCCTCGCCGTTGCGTTCTTTCAAACTCGATTGACCATCTAGCCATCTTCAGTAGTAAGATTGTACTTATGTAAAGACCCAACTTACAAAAGCACAGACTATTGTGAACAAGTTTATAGTGAGAATGAAGAATTGCCAAAACCCGACAGATCGATTGACATTTGTTAGTTTTCGTGATGTCCTAGGTTATGAATCCATAGAGCGGTTGCTTCGCATTTCAAGGTAATACGATTTTCATTTGCTTCCTTCTCATTGCATTCCCTACAAATGAGATCTATACTCTATTGAAAAGGCGTTTCTCAGATTTCAGAGACCAATATATGTCACTCCCCTGTCTGAGTTTGTCAGTTTTGGCTAGAGTTCATTAATTTGTTATGTGTGTTTATTTTGTAAATTTACTGTGGCTGACACCTCAGGAGTTCGTCCATATCTTGTCCTTTTTTGACCAAAACACTGCGTCTTAGAAAGCGACATGCAAATATTTAAAAACAAAAACAGAGATTTAAAG